ATGCCTGGTTCTCTAGGAGGGATTTGGACAGGATGAAACTGTCTTGTATCCAAATTTAAATAAACTCGAGATAACTTTGTGCCCTACGCTGAATTTTTCAGTTTTCTAAGGAATCTTGGTTTTCAAAATGTGCCAGTAATTTATAATAATTTCAGAAGAAGCAGTTTTCCACTTTTGCAGTGAATTCCTGCGTACATAAGTATGGGCTTTTAGCTTTTAACATTTACAGCTCCCTAAACACCTTCCAGCAGAGCCACAGGTGAATATGAGCTGAGTGAGAGAGCATTGTCCCAGTGTGCTGGTTTCATGGATGCCTTGGAGGTGACATATGGTCTCCTGGAATTGCCTACCCATCAAGAACTATTGTGTGCAGTTGGTGCCTGGTCAACTTTTTTGGACCATTTACAGGGACCTGAGGAGCAGAGTAACAAAACAGAATATGGCAAGTTCTAATTCCCTTGCAGAGTAGCGGTTAAAGTGGTCTGGAAGATGGAGGGAGTTGCAGTGTGTGGAGGTTGTTGACTGTGCAGCCAGCATGTGTCTAATCAGACTTAATAAATTTGACTCAGTGCAGGTATTGCCAGGGCTGATATGACTCCTGGAGAGCCTCTCTGCGCAGTTCTTCAGCTTCCAGGAGGCTTTATTAGTCTGGACTCCATGCTGTGCACATCCAGAGCTGCTTCTGATCCAGCACTGGAGCTAATCTGTTCCGTGGCACAGGGTGATTATGCATCAGCCTGCCCAGCGCTCCGGATTCCCGGAATACTTCGCAGGTCTTATGAGCTGTAAAACATCCAGTTCAAAATACATGGGAGACTGAGCAGCTGCCTTCTCATCCAGCAGTCCCAGGTCAAATAATCTGGAGCAGATCCTGCCTGGCTCTGTGCCCTGGATTCCTTCCTGGCCCTGATGGTACCTGGAGTGGTGCTGGTGGGTGCTGGGTGTGCACACGCACGTGCTGGTTGCAGGCTGGAAGTGTTACCAGCGTGAGGGAAGAGGCCACTTCCAAGTTTTTATGTTGCAGTGTGCTGAATCCCAGATGGCATTCTCAGTTTGAACAACCCCAGGGATTTAGTGTGACAAAATTTGTCTGATTTTGCTCATGAGAAAATGTAAAATGATAATTTTTGAATTCTAGTCACAAATTTAAATTCACAAAGCTGGCATGTCCATCCTTCATAATACAGCCAGTTACAATTGCAAAAGTGGCTCAGGTTTAAATTCAATTTCCAGGTATCATGTGTTGATGTTATTCCTATTTTAAGTCACTACTTGAAAATCAGGATTATCTATATCTGTTAATAAAGTGCAGTCCCAAGAACAATGACCACAAAATCATTTTACAAGATTTTAGCTCATTTTGTTTATGAACTTTTTGCAGATTGTTTTTATTTCACTGTTGTAATATAAGGCTTCAGCATTTCCAAGGTACTTGTTATGAAATCAGAAATACTGCTGTAATTAAAACTGAACACCTGACAGGATTAAGACTTAGGCAGTAATGTGATGGTGAAGGGCTCTTGTAGGTAACAGGCCTGGACAAGCACAGGGCATTTCTCTAATTAATCGTTGGGTCATTTGGTGTGAGAAGGGGCTGCAGCACAGAGGGTCCTTCAGCGTTCTCAGTCTGTGCTCTGCACTTTTCCTGTGCTGGCATTCCTGATGTTTGCTTCACCTTGCACTATAAGTTCCCCTACTTGTCCCAGAGCTTAACTGATGGATGAGGATAAACTGCAGTTCTTTTCAAATGATGTTAGGAACTATCCCACTGCATTTCATCTGTGTTTGGCACTTCTTTGTCAAACTGGAGGAAACTGCTTATAAATGACCATTCAGAACATTTGGTCTTTTCATTAAATAATCTTTGTCTCTGTCTCTTTTTTTTTTTGAATTTAAAAACATCCTGTCTGGTACTTTGATACTTCTGTATTGAGGACTTTCTTAATGGCCTTTCTCTCAAGCCCAGGAAGAGAAATAAGAGGTGTAACTGGAATTTGTTTTTTTTTCTTAGGCTATTGGTTGCTTTCTGGCACATAATAAATATAAACATGTTAAATGTATCCTATGGCAAGTATGTCTATGTTTCTATGAGGTGATCTAGTCTTGTATTTTGCTGAGTATTGCAGTAGAAATTATTTACAACTCTAATACAGTAGGTGATGTACAAGGGAAACAAACCCCTGTTCATTCTCTGAGTTCCCCGAAGAAGCCAACTATGAATAAAATGACTTTTGGCAGAGTTTTCACCTTGAAATAAATCTTAGGAAGTGGTGGAAGGTTTTTTGGAGAGTCCCATAGCTTAAAGCAGGACATCTGTAGCCAAGGGGACTCTTCAAATGTTTCTTGTTACCTTCATTTGCTTTGTTATAATTTAGTCACGTAGCCTTGCCTTAGAGCTCTGGTCTGGGGCAGAAATGTTGTGTACCTACAGTGTGTGGAGGATGCATCATGTGCAGGAGCACTAACCAGGACTGCTGGGTTATTTTGAAAATCAAGTTTATGTGAGTTAAAGCAAAGCAAGAATGTTCTTAACTCATTGACCTTGATACGTGAGTTCACTTTGCTCACTGCTGCAGTGTAAAAAGACCTTATTTATAACTATATAATGTTAAAAATATTAACTAAGTTTAGACCCATAGGTAAATTTTAGTGCTAGTCAAGAGCAGGTCACAATGGGAGCTTTGCAAAAGTATCCTTGTGTGGACTTTACTGGATGAAATCTTCAAGTACTTAAGACAATTTAAAAGGGCAGCTGAGAATTTGTTCCATTACAGGTAGGTTAATGTTGGGCCATACAAATAATAGGAAACAATTTAAAGTGTTTAATCTTCTGGATTGATATGACAGTAAGTTAGGGGAAAAGAATTTGATGTTATGGAGTTTTTTTCCCTCTTAGTTGTTCGTGCCGCTGCAAGTTGTAAATATTTGACTTCTCAGGTTGAAAACTTTCTAACCTTGAATTTTTTTTTATTACTGGAGATATTGTCTGCTTGTTGGTGTGAAACCTCCTGTTCTAGAAACTTAATCTGATTTTGATTAGTTTCTTTGGCTTAAAACAGTAAGCACAAACTCAGCATTTGTGAAATCCTTGCAAGCAGAGAAAAGAATATTCTTGAACCATGTTCCTTGGATGTTGGTTTGAGATAAGTCAGATGACTTTGAGTTGACAGTGGGTAACTGTGTGTACATTGTGAGATCTGAAATGACAGTCAGACACAGGAATAAATATTGGACAAGATTGTGGAATAGATTCATTTCACTGATAGTAGTTTTCATTCTGATTGATTAGTAAATTGAATATGTTGAGTGTTCCTCAATAACTAGTGATAGTCTTAGAGAATGAGGATGGAGCTGAGGAGTGCTAAGCCCTACATTACCATAAGTATTTTTCTTACATTTCGTCCTGTTACTGTAGGAGATAAACATGTTTAACTGAAGTAATGAATTTGATGAGGGTTAAATAGCACATTACTATCAAACTTGAATTAAACAAGATTAGGTTTGCTTAAGTATAAAATTGTGAAATGTCACATGGATGTAAGTGAATCCAGTTTTACATCTTCCCATTTCCTTTCCCAAATGCAAACTAGTCCTTAGTATCTCTCAGGTTCTTGGTCAGTGTTTTATTTACTGTTTTGTTCATTTATCTCAGCAGGGAAATGGGGAAGTTGGTAAAAGCACTAGGAAATAACCCATATTTGTCTCTGCTGAAGGCAGCATGTGGTGTGTGTGATGCACAGGCTCTGGGAGCAGGATTGCAGGAGCAGCCTTTGATCTGTTCTAGGTGTCAGAAAGAGAAGTTAATGCTCCTCTTTCCTCCATCACCCCTTTATCTTGCAAGACACGTTCATATGGTAGCCATGTGAAAGCTGTGCCATATGAAACCCCACAACATTAGTTTGATCTCTGAGGAAGGGCTTTCGGTTCCAAAAATTCTTGAATTCTGGTAGTGAAATTACTCAGTGTGCAGGAAAACTGGACACCAGATATCAGGTGTGAAGTAGCAGTGGGTTTATCAAAGTTCCAGGTGTCTTTTGGAGATCAAAACTTCAGGAAAAAATTGATCTGCTATCAAAGTTGCCTTGTCAGGTGGATTGGGAACAAAGGGGGACATAAAGGCAGGCTTATAAATGAACTTACAGGACTCAGCTTCCTGTTTAGAGCAGGGACCTGTGTGTGATTAGTTCAGGTCAACTTCGTTAGGATAAAGCAAGAGACTGTTTTTACTGTCAAACAACAGAAAAAGGACTGAAGAAAAAGATTGTATCTTACAAGTAGAACTGCTTTTAGATTTCACGGGGCTGTCACGCCTTTCGAGGAGAGGAGGCTCATGCTTTTTATAGCTACTGGAATAGGCTGGAATAGCTTGTAACAGTTGTTTTCTGAAAACTGGCAAGTTGTCATCAGTGTAAAACTTGGAGTAAAAGGGACTAATGTATAAACATTAATCTGTTCTCTGAAATGTTCCTGGGAGAACCTTCCAGATTAATATTCTATTTCAAGTCCCCATGTAGTGGTCTGGTTTACCCATATGTTGTTGTGTTCTGCAAGAGTGCTCCTGTTTGCAAAGTGAAGTTTCAAGCAAGTTCTGCAGAAAAAGGATAGTAATTGTTTATACTGTAGAAACAATAGCTAATCTGGGAATAATCTTGGTTGGTTAAGGAGAGAGAGAGAAAATCCAGATAGCTGCTGGTAGCTGTTCCTAGAGCAGTGTGAGCTGAGTGTGGGATTCACTGGCATCCAGAGGGGAACTGAAAGAATGTATTTGTGTGCTTATCCATATAAAAGCATTCAGACTCTGTGGTGACTGTTCCTTGACTCTGGAACTCACAGGTGATCTACAGATGACACAATCATTTTGGTTCCTGTGTGAATTACATGCACAATGCAGAGTGCATAGCATGTACAGTGTGAGCTTCTCGTGTTTAGGTATAATAGAATAAACTTCTTAAATTGAAAGATAATCTAATTTTTTTTTTATTCTAATTGTTACTGTTTAGGCGTCTGAACAAGAATAAATTGCAAGTCCTTCCAGAGCTGCTTTTTCAGAACACCCAGAAGTTAACTAGACTGTAAGTACAATCTGATTTATTTTTCTATTGTGTGTTCCTTACTTTACAGATTTCCATGGCTTTGTTTTGACTGTGGTGAGAGGTTTAATTTCTGTGATATTAAACTACTAGTTGGTAAGGGTTTTTGAAGGGGTGTGTTTGCATGTGTGTAGTGGTAATTGGATAGAGCATAAATATCAGAGGGAAGAGAAACCACAAAATTTTTCTGTTCCTCATGTGTTCACCATGATGACGTCAAGGTGACTTATTTTCAACTCTCTATGTAGATTTATATAAACCATGAAAAGTGGAAGCTTCTCATATCCAGCACAGTCTAGATATCCACAAAGAGAGACTGCATATCCTTACTTCAAAATAATGCACAGATATTTGTTTTTTTAGCTTAAAAAATTATCTTTTTAATTAAGTAAAGGTATTGCCAGGCAGACCAGCCAAGTTTTGGCTGTTGCCTTGTCAGTCAGGAAGATGAGGAAATATGGAGAGGTAAAGAATTCTTTTTCCTTGAGATATAAAAACTATGCTATAAGGTGTTTAGATGGCATCAAGGCCCATGTGATTTGGTCAGTGAAATTGTAAAGTCACTCCTTGTTGGTTGAAAAGTTGCTCCATTCATGTGGAGTCTTCAGAAGTGTTTAAATACCTCTATCTGCAAGCAAACAAACCATTTAGGCAGCGCAGTAAATTTTTCTTCCTGTGGAAATACGAACCACATGGTGATAGTGCAGATTAATTTTGGAGCCAGGGCTATTTAAAGAGGCAACTTGGAGAGTGTTGAGCAGCGAGTGATATTGATAGTTTGGGGAATTTCTGTCATGAGCTTTTTGGTGTTGTCCAAACTTGCTCACGAAAAGTTGTACAAGTAATTCAATGACATTGTGCTGCAGATTAAAAAAAATATAAAAATATCGATAATTATAAGCTAGAGCTGTGTTTTACTCTTACAATCATTGCAAAATCTCAGTTGGACTTGTTTTGCAAGCTTTGTCGTGACTGTTGAGTGCCCTAGAATATATTTGCTCAATGGATTTGCTCAGGTGGAACAATTTGGTTGTATTTCCTGAAGTTCTTTGCATGGTTTTGAAATGTTGTATCTTGAAACTCCCCTTGAGTGTAAAGTTGAGCTGGTACTTGCAGATACCTTTGTCTGGTCTCTGGAAGGTGCCAGCTGTATTTCTTTGTTAGAAGAGTTGCTTCATGTGGGTTGGTTGTTTATGGAAAGGGTGATGCTTCGGAGATAAAAACTTTTAGAGAGTGTACCTATATCACTACAGATTCCAGTTGACCATGATGAAAATTCCTCTGAGTGGTCACATTGTATGTGGCTATCATGAGGCTGAAAGAACTTTCTGGTAATTTGGGGTTTGGTGGAAGGTGGTGCGTGTTGATAACTTGTGCCTCACACAGGGAAACAAACGGAAAATAGCCGAGGCTTTCCGATACCAGGGAGTGTATTTTTCAGTAGATCATATTATCATGATACATTATAGTCCTTAACAGCAAGGAAAATCATTTTCTTTTTAGAATATGAAGATTGTAATAAAATCACATAGACTGGAATGATTAATCTGAATGCTGTGTTCTGTAATGCCTCCCAACGGATGCTGTCGGAACATTTGTCTTTATTCACTGACATTCACTCCAAGTCTTGCTTACTGTTGAGCAGTGCATTAGATAGATCACTTTAACACTGTTTGTCAGAAGAAACTTGCTTTTTCTTTTGAAGACACCAGTGTTATATAAATACAGTGTGTATTTTAAGTAAATAAATCTTAGCTAAGTGAACTGTTACAGTCCCAAGTGTGGTTTGCTTCTACTTTTTGCAGTCATGGGATGAGAATGAGAGTTTTTTTCCTGCTATAACTTGTAAAAATACACACACACACACACACACACATATATATGGTTGCTTTCTATTATTTTATGTTACTGTTGTGATCCTGCTGCTGGTAGAGTCAGAGTTCTAACTGTTATGAACTGTCTGAAATTCAGCAGTGCCACTCAGTTCACAAATGGGGAAAATGCTCCAGTGAGGATGTTTGGTGCTTGCATTCCTCTCCCAGCTGCTCTGCCCCAGCCGTCCAAGAAGAAAGCATAGCTGAGAAAGTGATGAAAGGGAATAAAAGTAGTGAAACAAAGATGGCTAAGACACACTGATGCAGAGGTGATGGGGCTTTTGTGGGGATTTACGAGGAGTGAATTAAAATGAACATTAAAAAGTCTAGATAATACTCCTTTTAATTGTCCATGCTACAGCTATATTATTTCTGCTGATGTGTTTTCAAACTCTTGACTATGGATTACTAAGCTATTAGTCCATTATTTTATTCTTAATAGTTAAAATCCTCATAAAGTTGAGAGTCCAAAATTGAGTATTTTAATTGTGTAAGCTTGCTACAGCTCAATATGATGCAGAATTTTAAGAAATAAATATTGCTGTGCAATATGTCCAAACTGTAAATTTTGGATAGTCTTGTCCGTGTGGACACGTAGGAAATGGAGATGAATTCTGTGATTCTTACAGTTGCTCTCTTCAGCAGGATTACAGTGAATGTAACACCCCACGGGTTTGTTAATGAAGTACAAGCTTGATTTTTAATTCTTTTTTTAAATATAGAACCAAACAGAAAGATGACATTTTAACTTGGGTAACTTGATAAGAGTGTGAAAGTTGAGCATATTTATTAGCATGAATAGAAATCGGTGGAGATGGAGTGAGTGACCTGCTTAAACATGCAGGAATTTTGTGTGCTGGAGGGTTTCAGGGAAGACCTGTTTATGTTTCAGGAGCAGTTAAAGGTTGCAAAACTAACTGAAGACTTTTCTGGGTGTTCTGTCAGCTGGGCTGAACTCTGCCCGGGCTTTGCTGGAGGAACCAACTCGGTTTGTGTAGCTGAGTAGCACCAGAATCTCTTCAACCCTGTTGCTGCTGGCAGTCAGAATGTAGGACATTGTTTCTTGTCAATGATGGACTTGAAAAGCTGGAGTACAAACCTGGTTGGTGATGGTGGGTTCTTGTGCTGTCTCATATTCACATAGTCTGGAGGAGCAGTGCTGGTGTCCCTCGTGTTTTCCTCGGGTCAGGGCACGGGGCATTCCCACTGAAATGCAGCCTTTCTGATAACTAATGAATCGGAATTTGGAATGTCTCTCAGATTATAACTGCTGCCTCACCCTTCACTTCACCTCCAGGTACTTTTTGCCTCTTTTCTCCAAGCCTCTCCCAAAATGCTGAGCTTCAGGATATCCTTGTATCTTTTACAGTGCTGGACAGGCTTGGTTGTCACATCTGGTTGTTATTAGAAGCAGGAATATATATAGTGAAATAAACCTTAAGTGGAATGTGAAACATCCCACAAAACGAGTTTCTCATAAGGTTTTGAGCCTTTTCTTCTAGAGAGATTGGCTTGGAGACTCATGGATTTTGTTTGCTTTGGTTTAGATAAGAGTTTTAAGTTTAAGTTGGATGAACCCTTGATTGGCTTCTCTGGTGGAAATGTTTCTCATTGACTGCTTAGGTTTTAAAGCTTCTTGACTGTTTTATCTGGGATAATTATCTCATAATTCAAAGTGCAGGCACTTTGAATGAGAAAACTGAATCGAGGAAAAGGCATTTTCAATAAATTGAGTATTAGAAAGAAGAAAGTTTTTTTTAATAGTTTCAGATATTTACTAATCTCTAGCCATAAAGTAAAAGGTGTTATTAATACAAGTGGTGAAAAAAATATAGTAAAATGAAGCATGTAATTTAACAGCTATAAACCCAGGTTTTGATTCCAAGGTAATTGTTTTCTAATATCCAAAACAACCAGTGAAATTTATTGGCCAAGTTTGTAAACAAAGCTTTGTGAGTGCTGGAATCCTCTCTATTCTTTGTGTGCACAGCTGGTGTATAAAATGATTGTAGTGCATCTGCTTTTCACTGAAAAGCAAGTATGCTAGTGGTCCATGAGATACTTATTTATCTTTAAAAACAAAACAAAAGGGGAAAACAGGCCCATTCCCCCACAAAAACCTTGTCATACTGGAATATATTGATTTCTCTGTTGAAACCTCCATACCTCAACCAGCTGCTAAGTAGTCAAGGTAAAACTCCTTTGTGTGGGTGAAAAAAAAAAACTCATAAAAGTGTTCTAAACTCCAGTCTTTCAGTGATGCTTCCATGAATTTATAGCCATGGACCATTTGGTGGGTCTATTCACCTTTAATGAACTGTCTTAGTTGTCACTTGACTAAATAAACCAGACTGGCAACTTAGATACTGAAATTTGATACCAGAAGTATCAGGTTGGTGGAAGCATCCATTAGACTCTGAAATTGTTTACTTTTGAGGGGAGTATCAGAATTTAGATTTCATATCTAGGCTGAAGGGGTAGTGTGGGAGAAGAGCCCTGTGATCCTGAACTCTGAGACAAAACAGGTTCCTGGCTGTGTGTCCACAGTACCTTTAAAATCTTGTGGTGCTTAAACTTTGTGGGTATGGTGTCCTCATGTTTTTATGATATTAGTAATCTCTAATTACTGAAGTAGGCTAAAGTAGCAAGATCAAGAAAATGGAGATGTAGATCAGTGATTTGTTCCAATAAAATGTGATGGCCTCTTAGTATCAGGGACAGTCATTGTGTAATAAGTTGCTTTTTGTTAACACAGTGTCAGTATTTGTAGCCCTGTGAGATTTGTCAAAGCTGGATGGGTGGGATGCTTATTTCTTGCATAGTGGAATGTTTTGAAAGTTGATTGATGGATGGGTAAAACAGTGAGTAAGTACTTGTAGCATTCAATATGAATTCCCTGAGTAGCCTTAAAAAGAAGCAATATTCAATTTTAGCAGAATCACAGAAGGGCTGGGGTTGTGTGGTGGGTTGACCCTGGTTGGGTGCTGGTGCCCACCAAGGCTGCTCTATCAGCTGCAAAGGGGTGAGAAAGTCTAGGGAATAGTTTGTGGGGAGAGATAAGAGCAGGACAGATCACTCACCTGTCACCATCACGGGCAGAACTGATCT